GGAGGTGGAAAGGGAAATAGTTTATGCACAGTAAAATCCATTACATGGCAAGGCTACTGTCTCATTCACACTCATGTACGTGTGAACCCCAGCTGAACAAAGTGGGACTTAATTCTGAAAGAAATACAAAGCATTGCCTCCTCAAAGAGCCAGTCTATGGAAAGAATTCCCCAAACAGCCAACATGGTTTGAGGGTGCTCAATGGGCATGCTATTGTATTCTGCCTGATTGCTGAAGGTGGCAGAGAATGGTGACCTGATACTGGGCAGGGAAAACATGTTATCCTGAAAAATGATGTGCCTGGCTTCCTGGAGCACAGAATAGAAGCAATTTGTCCACATGGCAGCAACTGGTCCATTATAAAAAAAATAAATGAAAATAAGCCCCAGATTCAATAGGCTCAATGAAAAAATGAAAACCCAGAAAGGATCGCCACTGGTTCCAAGAGTACAGAAAAGCAGTGGGTTGATCATCATCAAAATCCAAATATTCATTCACTCTGAGTGCATCTATACTACACAGTTATAGCAATTTGATACTACTTTAAATGTCATGGCTCCATCCAATGGAATTCTGGGGTTTATAGTTTGACCAGGGAGTTTGAGTTCCCTAGGTTGTTCCCAGTGTGCTGAGCAATAAATAAATAAATAAATAAATGAAAAAATTGAAAAACAGACACAACTCTTATAATTTCATTCAGCAAAGAAGCAGCTTTGAAATATTTCATTCTTGCATGCAGCAATAAAATAGGCAAAGAATTACATCCCTAAACAAATCACAAGTTTATGTCAGGAGGTGCAATAAAACTGCTATAAGTGGGTAATATAGATTAGGGAGTCTAAGTGTTTGCATATTTAATTTTTACATGCAAAAAAACCTGAATAATTTAATTTGGTGGGTGTTTTTTTTCCTAATTGGATGAGGTTATGAGATATTTATTTATTTATTTATTTTGCATTTTTGGATGAAGTTTTACACTTCAATTGTTGTTGTTGTTGTTGTTGTTCAAAGTTTGCTTGCACCAAACTTTTTGTTTCACACCATCCCCCATCTGTAGCAACTTTCAGATTAACCAAAAGAAAGGAGATTATTGTATTAAATAATACTCCTTATCTCTCCCGTATTTAACTCTAATTTGTGCTGCAGCCATATTTTATCACACAGCTTTTGCAGTGGAATCCAACTTCAGAATAGATCATCATTCCAATGCACATTTGAAAACACACTCCAGCAGCTATTTTTACAAGTCAGAAGGTTCCAACTTAGAAAAATAGCCACTGGAGCGCATTTTTGGATGTGCATTGGAATGCGGATCTACTCTGAAGTCAGATTCTGCTGCAAAAGCTGTCCGATAAAACACAGCTGTAGCACAAATTACAGTTAAATTCAGGAGAGGTAAGGAGTATTATTTAAGGCATGCGATAATCTCCAAAGAAGCTGGGAACAGGAGCTTTCATAGACTTGAGCCTACTTCCATAGCAGTCTACTTTCATAGACTTTTCAGCCTACTTCCTCAGAAGCATGAGGATACCATCTCATTCATCTGAGGAAGTAGACCCAAGTCTATGAAAACTCATGCTACCAGTTTCTTTCAGTTACCAGTTTCAAAGTTGCTACAAGCTCCCTTTGCATAAGGAATAATCAAGAAGAGGGAGTTTAATTGCTAGATCTATACATCAGACATTGGATCCACGTTCTTTACTTTTTTGGAATAAAACTATTTTCATGGTTCTAGCATGTCATCTAAAGCAAGTATAAAATAGTACAGATGGCTTTTCCTCCTAACAGGGAATCATGGCTTTTGTTTATTCAGTTGCAAGCTCTCTTACATTTCTTTCAGTGTCTCAAACACTGAGATTGTGGTATTGAGGTTGTGGTAATATGCAGATATGATTAACTTGTATCTACGGTATTAATTAAATGGTGGCTAAGAAGAAGGTGGAGTTCCTGGCACAAGAATAGGAGTATCCTTCCTCTGCAAGTATGTCCCTGTTTTGCAGCTGTAAACGAAAAATAAATGTTTTTCAGGTTCTGCCAATTGTTGATTACGCAGCAGAGATACAGATGTAAAGGAGACTATTGCACATGCCTTACCCCATCTTTTTCCCAATGGGATACATGTATATTTAACTTCAAAGATGGGTCTTACTGCATTCTCCCATATAAAGCCCATATGCAGCCTGTATGCAACCAAGGCTTATCCTGTGGCTTTTCAAGAATGGGAAAATGAAGTCTTGGGCTGCTGCCACACCACATAAATAAAGCAGTTTAACACCAGGTTAACAGCCATGACTCAGTGCTATGGAATTCTGTGTTTTGTAGTTTTGTGATGTAGGTATCCTTCCTGTCAGAGAGCTCTGGTGGCCCACCAAACTACAAATCCCAGATTTTCATATCATTATGAACCACACTCAGCCATCTGCTTTGCAAAAACAGGAGCTTGCCGTTTTTGCAAAGCAGCAATCTGACTGCAGCTGGAACCCGAGTTGCAGTCACCCAGCTGAACCAGTGGTGATTTCATGTGCAATAATACCTGCTGGGAACCCAAAAGGTGACTGTATCCCATTGGGGATAAATCACATTATTTACAGTGTGATAAACTCCTAAGACTCTAGTTTGTGGTAAGGAGGTGCTTTGGAGATAGAAATAGATTACTTGTTCACACTTACTTTTAGTGCCTATCTATACTTGCTAGTTTATGTGGATAAACCCGCTTCTCCAAAAGTAATTTCAGCTGAGCACAATTTGAATTGAAGGAGTGCAAAGACTTTGAAAAATTATGCTTAAAAAGGAATGAGTTAGGAATACAGTTTTAAGTCCCTAAGAGTTTCAGTTAACAACTAAAACTATTGTATGCTATTACTATAACTGTGAAAATATAAAGTAACTGAAACCATTATAGTTACACTACAAAAGAGTGAAGCTATTTCTCATTATTCTAATAGAGTAAAGTAAGGATATTATGCTTTAGTTCTTGCAAAGAGGCATTCATCACAAGTTAGTAATTACTTGGGACTAGGTACTTCCAAGCTCCTGGATTATTTACTTTCCAGTCCACTGCATCTCCTTTGAAATTTGTCTTCCAAACAACTGTCTGCCTCTGCTAGATTCAAGAGTTCCACTGAAGCACACAACTGGAACCCTTCCAAATGGAGTAAAAGATTTGGAAAGCAATTTGAAATGGAAAAATCTATAAACCAGAGGCAAGAATCGTGAACCCCACAAGGTCATTTTTCTACTAATAAACGTACATGGGGGGTGTGGGGTGGGAGGAACTTGTGGGGTTGAAAAAAATCACATTTATTTTAGAGGAGGTATAGCTGTTGCTAGGTACCGGGGACATATAACTAGTTCCCAAATCTCCAAAGTTGCCCACCCTTGATGTAAATGGCTACCTTTCCCTTGTCAATCATGCCTTGTAACAAAAGGGATGAAGTCCATCGGATTTGATTACACCTGCATTTGTGTGTGTGGAATTCATGGTGTGGACCCAAGCTGCTAACATATAACAGCTTTTAGGCTCCATCCACTAGACAACCTTCAAACATTTTATACAGCAGCTGTGCATTCCAACAGAAAGCCTTAAAAAGTGAGTTCACAGATGGCCATCAACAACTACCTCATGAGACAGAAACAAAAGAAACAGAAAGAAAACCTAACTGCTTGTTTCCATTTTAATTTATGCTTTAATTACCACTTGTCAAACATGTCCTTTAGGCACACTCCCTGCACATATCCAAAATTTCCTCAGCCCAAGTGCAGTTGAACAATGATGGGAGACCCGTGTGATGCTGCCTTCTTCTCTTTGAGGGTGGAATTTCCTAAGAAGGCTTATGGGAATCCAACTTCTCTCCAGATGATTTCATACTCTCCAACATGTCACAGTTGAACATTAGGTTACACGTGGCCAAGCAACATCAGAGTGCAGTCAAGGAAGCAAAAATTACTAATGAGAAGAACATTCAAGTTAGGAGAGGCTGCAGCAGCTGGCTTTTGCCTGAGCCTACTGGGAAGGACAGGGCTCTGCCCCTCCTCTGAGTGGTTGAGTTAACTGGGCACAAACTACTTTTGCACTTTGAGCCCAGTTTGCAACAAGTAAAGTAAGCTGAGGGCAAAGGAGGGGGAAAGAGGAGGAAGAAAGAGAAACTGGAAAGTTTTAAATGCAGCTGAAAAAGTAGAATGACAGAGGATTAATTAGGACTGTCCTTATTAAATCATGACAGTGGAAATGTGATTTCTGCAGTAAGGGTCTTGTGTTGGAAACTGGTAGCCAAGATCCTGAGTTCCAACAGAGTTAAGCACTCTGGAAATAGATGGTCTGCAATGTGTATATGTGTGCCTTGTATTGTGTTCTGGCAGAGCATAAAATCTCCCTTTCATGCTCTGTAGCTCTTCATCATCCTGACTTAAGGGGGATGCAAACGGGTGGCCTTGGGCTGCCCTGGAAAATGGAGGTTCGAGGCCGAGGCTGCCAGACGCATCAGTCCCAATCCTTCCTTTTGCCGCCTGGGAAAGGAGCGCCAAAATGCCACTCCTTTCACAGACGGCAAATAAGGTGCCCGAAAAGCCGCCGCATGGCTCTTCTACACCCCTTCCAGCACAGTGCATTAAGACGCTGTGCCAGGAGGACGTCTTGACAGCGCACACACCATGCGTAATGGCACGAGCCATGATGATGTCCTTGGGAAGGGGTTGGGGTGCCCGGCCTGTGGCTGCCCCTCCCCTTCCCTGCTTTCAAGACGGCGCAAAGTGTCATCTGTAGAGGCCCTTAGTAATCCTCATGTCCCTGCTTTTTGAGCTCTGTTCTGGCCTAAAGTATACAACTCCTCTTGCTGCTCACAGCCTTCTTAGGGTTTATTCTCAGCACCCATTCTTCTCCAGCCCTTTGTTCCTTCCTCCATCCAGCTACAAAGAGGCCATGTTTTCACAAGAACAATGGACAGACCATTTGCAGGGAAAGGCCTCATATTGATATAATATTGGAATGGTAACCCCTGAAAGCCAGTGTGATGCAGTGGTTTGAGGGCAGGACTAGGACTCTGGAAATCAGGGGTTTGATTCCCTTCTCAGCCATGAAACCCCCTGGGTGACCTTGAGCAAATCATATGATCTCAGCCTCTGGGAAAGGCAATGGCAAACCTCCTGTGAAGAAATCTTACCAAGAAAACCCCATGATAGATTTGCCTTAGGGTTGCCATAGGTTGGAAGGCACACAACAACAATAATAACAACGATTCCTGAGAACAGCTAGGGTACCAACTCAAGAAACAGCAAGCTTGCAAAAGAGACCCTAATCAGAGGTGACTGGAAACTGAACATTGTTTGGCCTGGAAGGTTCATGTTCTTCATTGCAGAAACAAACCACATTTCATTTTGCTAATATAACCCCAATGAAGTATTGGTTTGGCCCAATAGGTACAGGAGAAAACCTCTGGAAAGGACTATACTTTTCCATTCAAATTTGGAGTGAGAGCTGGAGGAGAGAGGAGCTGTGTTTAGAACTGAGACAGTGTCATCTTGAATTAGGGCTTTGGCTTGCTGATAATAACTGCTAAGTACCAAGATTTCTGCAAACAAGCTCTGCTTTGTGGAGTGCGTGGAACATTGAGAGACTGCATATGTGTTGGATTCAATATAAAATATGCAGTATTTTTGCTAGGTTTTGTGGGGGGTTAAAATAGTTATCTAAAAGCCTTTGCAGACTGCCAGAAATAGTGCACATTAAATTGAGGCACTGCCCTGGCTCAGTGCTAGGAAATCATGGGAACTGTATTTTATTGTGGCACCAGAGCTCTCTGACAGAGAAGGCTCAATGTCTCAGAAAAAATTGCAATTCCCATGACTCCCTAGCACTGAGCCAGGGCAGTGCCTCAATTTAAAGTGCACTATTTCTGACAGTCTGCAAAGGCCCTAAATCTGCAAATTGTGTACGCCCTTTTAACTGTCTGTGTAACACTCATTTACTGTGGTCTCATGGAACCAAAGGAAGTGGTATACTACGTCACTCCTTTTAGTTTTATAAGCTCCATTAACTTTGTTTTCTTCTATCTGAACTGGATTTTTCTAATTTTGTACTGTTATCAGTTCCATCATTTTCATTCTTCCATTCATTTCAATGGTGATATAATCAGTGTTCTGTTCTCTGTAACATTCATGGTTTCTATCCAAACTGCACAAACTTTGGTGACATTTTATTTCCCTCCCAGGTTCCCCCTACAGGTTCAATTAAATACTTCCCATGACTCATGAGAGGCCAGCTGCTCTTCTCAAGATTGTAGCACCTATTCCAAGAAATATTTGGACAGCCTACTGATACCACTTCTGGTTCTACTGCTATCAACCCACACATACCAGGGCATCAGACTTGCCAAATTTCAGGACAGGATGACAAAACTTCACCATCTTACAGGCAAACCTTCTCTTCTTCAGTTTGAATAATCCTCCTGTCCTTTAACAGATTTTACTGCAATGTAATCAGAATGAGCAAAAGTGACTTCCAGTAGTGATTGCCCCAAAGAAAAGATGTCTACAACTGTATGATATACACACACTCCGAAAAGGCAAGAGCAAACCACATCCTTTTAATTAAGACATTCACATTTTTTTTTCTTGACAGTGGAAAAGGAAAGGAAATCTCCTCTGGGTTCTTCCTATCAACTATGCCTTTTCCAGACTGAAGGGAGGAGGTGCCACTCATCTTCCCTCTTGTACAAATCATTATTTGAAAGACAGCCGAGTCAGCCTGTTAGATCCTGGTGAGCCAATATGGTTTTAATGCAGTTTGGGAGTTCCCAGAGATGCCGTTTACTACTATTCTCTATTGTTTGCCCTTTAATTTTTATAGACTGGTTTCTCAATCTTTCACTCCCCCCCCCCCTCAACTGTTGAATGGTTTGGCAAAGGGATCCTCATGGTATGACTGTATGAGATGTTATTTGCATGAGTTTACAACAGCAAGAGATGGGAGGGTGGGGAAAACCAGTGGTAAGATCTTGTGGGACATCTGGGAGGACAAATTTGAATAAGATTAAAATGCACAGTCCTCAGCAGATTTCAGCAGATACTGCTCCTGTTTTCTCTCACCAATTGGCAGTGTGAGAGAAAACATGCCAAAAATGTTGACAGTCAACATCTCTTTCCAGTCAACTATCACAACCAAGACAGACTATCAATGGAATTAAGACTAATTTTAGATCACTGGAACTAGGTAACTTTTAACATGCTTTGCCATTTCTCCTTCAAAATTAAAAAGGATATATAAAACAAATAAGGCACCCAAATCTCAATTACCCTTCTTAAGAGGTCCTTTCACAATGCACAGTTATAGTGCATTATTACTCTGGGGCATGTCTACACAGCCATTTCACACAAGTTCACCATGCCCTTGCATTGCCTTGTCCAGATGACAGAGGACCAAAGGCCTTATTAGACTGTAAACCGTCCACACATGGGGAGGACAGTCTCGCAGTTAATCCAAGTCATCTCTCCCTTAAACTGCTTTTAAATAGCTCACTCGCCATCAGCACAAGTCGCTCCACTGAGGTCACAATGAGGCACCCAGCTATGTGATCGATGCTGGGCACCTCATGTTTGGCCTCAACAGGTGCAATTCACAGTGGTGGCATCAAGTGTGCAGGTAACAGGGGGAAGATAGGTGGCTTTGAGACCAGACTATCCCAGAGGTAGCCTGGAGTGTAGACTCTCCACTGGAATCCCCTAGCTGGAGCCCAAGAGACTGTAGTAATGTTTCCAAGCTCTGCTTTGAGTTCTGCCAGCTGAAGAGTTATAATATTTGGCAGAAGACAGGATGAGCATGAGCTACTTGCCATCCCTCTGCCTAACACATCACAACATTGTGGGGGCAGGGGAAAGAACAGAATTCCTGAAAGAATAATGTCAAGATTTGTTGTGTTTTGCTTTCATTTTTTTTAATGTAATAAATACCATTTTGAAAAATCTTTATGACTCTGACCTCCCTGCTAATACAAGATACCTTGCTACTGTGATGGAGGACAAAATAGCACATCTCCCTATTCCTCATATAAAATTGACAGGCTGGCTGTTGAATTTTACTTTAACACTGGCGACAAGTCAGCATCCTCCACTGCACTCAAGATAAAAAGCTAATACAATGGTCAGACTAGGTGATATATACAGTTTTCTACTTTTCTACTATATCTACTTTTGAGCACCTGCTGTCTGAGGCAGCTACCTCACTTAGGTCTGCCTGCAGATGATCAATGGCAGGAAAATACCAATGAGGGGGGAAAAACCCACTTATGTACATCCTGCATATTTGCCTAGATTGCTGGTTTCACCCAACATACCACAGCATTACATGCTGAGATGTGTATAGTGTGCCGGTGCCATCTGCAGACTTGCCATCCGTGGATTTGAGCTTCCACGGATGGCAAGCCCCAGCTTTTAAAATGGGTGCGTATGCATGTGGTGCAGAGCACGGGAGCGCATGCCCATTGAAATGAACAGGACTTGAGGTCCCATGTTTTTTTCTATCTGTGGGAGGATCCACAATGGATCCCCCCGCTTACAGCAAGGGCCCATTGTAGTTGCGTATTGTAGATATGTAAATAGGTAGATATCGTTTTTTTAAAGACCTAGTGTTAAAAATGTTTGTCAACTCTATTGTCTAAACTTGGAAAAAAAATCTTTCTACTATAAAAGGAACTCCCATACATTTTATATCCTTTAACTTTTGTATTTTGTGGATTTTAACTTTTTTTTTTAAATCGTTATAAATAGCCCTGAGTCCTGAACTGGAAAGTAGGTGAGATTATCATCATAATACTCATACTCATTTATTAAAACATGATATAAACACCTAGGCCAGATACTGTCAAATTATCTCAGGAGTATTGGGACCATAAAATGACCTTCACTGCTCCTTTTTTAAAACAATATGCTAAAATAACCAACACAATACACTCACTAAATGATGTTAGCACTATCATTGCCATGTTTCCCATTGTATGGGACCAACACAGCAACAACCCAAGCCAACATTTACTCAAGGAACATTCATCCACATACACACACACCTCCCAACCATGTTTGTTCTCAGTTTTTATATTATTTCATTGTATTGGTTTCCGATTTTTACACCATGCTTGTGAAACCATTAACAGCAGAACTCCTTATCATCTTTATTGCAATTATCCTGCCTGTCAACAGACTGTGGAGGTTAGAAAAGTTAATTATTCCCATTTATTGGTTACATGAATCCCTAAGTGACCTTCCTAGGGAGGTGCTGGAAGTTTGGAATGCTTCATCATCCTTATGGCAATTATCCTGCCTGCCATCAGACTGTGGAGGTTAGAAAAGTTAATTATTCCCATTTACAAATCTTCCTAAGGAGATACTGGAAGTTTGAAAGTGAACACATCGAAACCTCTTTGCCAGAAAAGGATTGTTCCAACACCTATTGTTTAAGAGCATTGCTACATATGCACCTAGGTGCATATGTATGAGACACCTCATGGGTGTCGGACATGTTAGTGGAGTTTGCCACCATGGGAAATATCAGACTTAAACATCCTTCTGTTGAAAAGATTACCATTTTTGCAGCATCACTGGAAATATTTAGTCAGGAATTATTATTTTTTGAAAGGATTTCCCACTCACCTTTTGTATATCGTAGCCCCAATAAAAAACAACAGAAAATAAGAACAGGAAGAAAAAAAGCAATTAAAATGGTCCAGCTGTACAAATAGTTCACTCTGAGAGAAATGCAAGGTGCTAGGATTAACCTTGAAAACCTTAAACAGTCGTTGTGGAGGTCAGGAAACTTGTGGTGCTCAAAGTATTGTTGGACTACAGCTTCCATAATCTCTGACCCCAAGTGATGCTGATAGGAGTCTAACGCGATCTGGAATTGTGCTTGGAAAAGTTAAGTTTTTTGGACTATAAGTCCAAGAATCTCCTAGCCAGCTTGGCTAATGCTGTTTTGGGAGCTGTTATTAAAAAAAAAACATTCAAAAGCTCTGGGAGCAGCCCAGATTATTCTGGCTAGTGTAGACATACCCATAAACAATTCATATAGTCAACATCAAAAGTCG